TGAAGATATGGATGAATGTAATCACAGAAACTGTAATTGGCGTTGTCAAGTTAGAAAATGATTATTGTCTTCTGGTTTTGGTAATGTCTGGTTAACTCATTATGTTGATACTGAAAGGGCATTTTTACATTGTTTCAAGCAGCGTTTGACAGATGTTTTTATTCAAACAAGGAATGAATTTGTTGAATTATCATCCAAATGTTATTTGTATAAATTCCTGATAGACAGCTTTACGTTACAATTTTATCTAACAAAGTCTATTCCAGATGCGTATCTTAAACTTATTTCGAAATTACGACTTTCATCGCATCAGTTATATGTAGAAGAGGGTCGGTATCGTAATATTCCGAGGGCGAATAGATTATGTCGTTATTGTAATCAAAACCAGGTAGAGGACGAGTTACATTTTGTTCTGATTTGTCCACTCCATGTTGATATTCGTAAAAAGTTCATTAAAAGTATTACTGGCACCGTACATCTTCATAAGAAACTTGTCCAGCTGTTATCTGTACGTAACAGAAAAGAGCTGTGTAATCTAGGAAAGTATCTGCAATCAAGTTGGTTAGAACGTTCTAGACCTTAGGTTATTGTGTTTTCTCTCACTCTGATTGATAACATATGAGTACTTGTTTATTTCCAGGTTTACACATCTTGTTTTGTCCATCCCCTGACTATACCACTGTATACAAATTGTATGCCTGCTTTTTCACGGTTTTTGTAATAAACATACTCTTTATTGAGCCCCGGTTGATATTATGCTAAGAAAATGTTGTCACCTTTCCGATAGTCACGGTACACTTAGGTGAGGTAACTTTACAAGAGCTGTCCATCTTCTGATAATTTATTTATCTTGTACTTTATAATAATTTAAAGCATTATACTGACCATTTATACGTACTATATATATATATATGCGATGTACAAGATTATGCTTCCTTTTATGATGTTATAATTATTTGGTATTTCATATCACTGATGTATCAATTATACGTTGCTGTGTATGCGTATGAGCCGGAAGGCTTCCAGCTGAGTAAACAATACAATACAACTCTCCGTTTGCAGAGTTAGAGTGAGAAACATAATTCCTAAAGCTCCTGTTGCTGGTGTCAGTATACGGGGCTTTGTCTCTCCCCTTCAGATTTATGGTCCTAATAAATCTTTTGTTGCAATTGAGATCTGCATTCCTGTAACTTAATACATTGTTACCCGTCATGAATGAGACAATACATATAATTGTTCAGTACATAGTATATTTTCTTATTCACAGTACATGTAGTTATCGACTTATAACTCACTATCATGTACTAATTAATAGAACAATAGATTTGTATATTTTATGTAGATGAAATACTGTTATAGCTATAAAGGAACTTTAATGGTGATTCTATCTTTAAGTATCATGTATCCAAGTCGGCGCATGTGCTTACAATATTAATAGGGCATCACGCTCTATAGTTTTTATGCTATCATGCTATTTTCACAAAAGGATACTGCTTAAATCATTTTAAGTATATGAATATGTAACATCTAATTTTTCACTTATTCATTGATTTATTGAGCAGACGGAAGGGAAAAAAACATAGACGTACCAACTGATGAACATTAAGGCCAGACATGATATGCGGATAAAGACAATTATCTTGTGAACTGAAGTTACATGTAAGTCCAGTGCACATTTACGTGAACTTCAGTTCACTTCAGTGTTAACTCCAGTGCACAACGATGTGAACTCCAGTTCACTTCAGTGTTAACTCCAGTGCACAACGATGTGAACTCCAGTTCACTTCAATGTAAACTCCAGTGCAAAACGATGTGAACTCCAGTTCAATTCAGTGTTAACTCCAGTGCACAACGATGTGAACTCCAGTTCACTTCAGTGTTAACTCCAGTGCACAACGATGTGAACTCCAGTGCACAAGCTAGTGAACTGGAGTTCATTTTTCTTGTTAACTCAGTGCACTAGGCTACCAAGTTAAGTTTGCTCCCAACTGTATTTGAGCCTATTATACATATTCAAAATAAGACACTAGTTAAGACCAGTTCTCTGTAACCACTAAAAATTCTCCTATAGGGTAAGGCACACATAGTAACAGATATTGTTTAAACTTTAAATACAACATCCTTCCACCATAATAACTCATAAAAAAGTTCAGTTCTAAAATATTTATTCCCGTTGTCTTGGTAACATAAAGCATTATTTACAGGTTGCTAAAGACAAGATTTTTTACAAAAATATCCTAAAATATCATTCTTTTGGAACTGCACAGAAAATTTCCTGATGGATAAGCATTTAAAAAAGTTGATGTAACTGGAAATGTAGGTCACATTTAATGAAAAAAAATGAGTTTAAAAGTTGTGGGTTTTTATCTTGATATGTTTGGAGTTAAGGATGTACTCTTCTGAGGTTTCAATCACGTTCAAATCTCGTTTTGATCTGGTGTAATGGGTTTTTATAATATTACCAAATTATGATCAAGTTTATTAGCAAACACGCATCTGAAAAACATGTAAAAAAACTAGATGCCTGTTGTTTGTAGAACTTTTTTTTACAAGAATTTAAAAAAATTACCAATTCGGCGGCCATTTTGAAAATGTGTATTAAGGATCCCCGTCCCTCCACCTAAAAATGTAATGAGGCATTGTTTTTTTTCTATGCGCATCGCTTTTGCATAACCAAATCATTTCTGAACAATAACCCATACCTTGCGGTAGTTTCTTCAGATGTTTTGGGATATTATGAAATTTCGATTTTTTTTTCGTTTTTGTTTTTCAATTGAACAAAATGAAACAAAAACATTTTATTTGAGGCAACAATGGTTTATTAGAAACAAAACACATACAAAATAATAACAATGTCAATATTGATGAACAAAACACAAAAAACTGAGTAATTTTCTAACAATAATACTAAAACAAACAAAAATGCCCGTTACATGAATCAATAAAATTCCGAGTGCCAATGCAACACGTTGAGGACAACGAAAAGAAAATATAGGTGACAAAAAATAAACATCTTGCGGACCTACTTATTATACAAAAAATTATAAAGATACAAAAAAATAAATAAACAAAAAAGAGAGACAACTCTTACATTTGTAACAATGATAATTATAAATCCCAAAAAGTCATATATACAATTTACAACATACAATATAGCATTTTTTATATACGAATATAATACAGATTTTCAATGCAAGGGACACAACTCTGTAGTCGAAACGTTATTCCAACGAAATCTATTCAAGGGAAGAGAAAAATGACAGTGGAAATCTTTAGTGTTTTGCTCTGGCTGGGACGAGGATCCTTAATGTGTATTTCTTGCGCTTCAAAAAAGGCCAAAAAATCACCTTTTTTTGACACTAGATTGATCACTTAACTTGTCATTGTGTCGCCATTTTTAATTGTAGCAGGTTCAATTTTACTGTACAACTTTATAATGATCAATATGATAAAAATGATATGCAACAAACTGGCAAATTATACATTATTGATATTTTTTTTTTAGTATTTAGTGTAACTGAAGCACTTTTGATTTTTGACCCTGAAAAAAGTGAAAAATAACACAAATGATAACAGGGCAAACGGAAGCACACTGACCCTCCATTTTTGTAGATGTTTTAGAAAGAGAAACACATTTTCACTTAATTCATTAAATATTAAAAAAAAAGTTAAATACCAGAACTTTTGATATCAAGCGTTTAATCTGTAAAAAAATGGTAAAAATGAGTATTTTCTCATTAAAAAATAGGGGGTAGGGGTAACTAAAATCGGCTTTCTGAGTTAAAAGAATAAGATTAAGAAATGTTACTTCCATAATTTAAAAGAAAATAATATTTTCATCAATTCTACAAACATTCATACATATCTGATAACACTTGGAAGAAATTGTATGAATTTGTTCTGCAAATGGTCAAAACCCAAAAAATCACCTGAAATCACATGTTGTGTTCAATTGGTATCTTTGACCGACCATAGCACAAAAACGAACACACGGACATATGTTTTTTTTTTCATTTTCTACTATGACATTAATTCCTTTTTCCAAAAATCCATATAAGAAAAAAAGTTTAATACAGGAAATTTTTGACTTCTCAGAGGTGCACATCCTTAAACAAAATGATGTTGTAAAATATTTAATAAATTCAACAAAGATTTTTGTACTGAAAAAAATAACATTATGCAGTTAGTACATTACACTATTTGATATGATGTTATCAATCTTCAAATTATTTTTTGTATGTGGCATTTGACTAATTTTTTGGTGGTTACAGAGAACTGGTCTTAATGGCTTGTGGTTCATCCATCGCGGGGGAGTCCGACATACTATATTGTTTTATGATCTACATATGAGACGTAAAATATAAATATAAGGACACGGACTTAGACCTAATTTAATCCCGTGAAAAGATCAATATTTATAGATGGGTATAATTCATTCAGTTAAATTTTAAATGGACACATAATGTGCGTTCCTTTTAAAGTGTAATAAGTTTATAAACTATCTTTATCTTTGTGTACCTCTACAATTTTTATAGAGATAGATCTGTTTCAAGTAATGAATGTAACTTTTCAGGTTTTCACTTTGTCATATTTGTCGTTTACAGCACGGGCTTAACAATATCTAATTCCGTGTTTACAGTAATAACAGTGTAATTAATATATATAATGTTTTGTTATTGATATAATTTATGTACGCAACTTTTCGGAAAAAAACATCTCTGAGTATCCATGTGATTGTCCTATTTAGATCATCCCCAAATGCAAAGACGTAAATTGTACATGTAGGCTTGAAGTGCTTTCGTTTTAGTCGAAGTTATCTCCCTTCCAATGTTTATCGCCAGTCACAAAATAAGTCTTTGGAGTATCTCTGTTAACTTGGATGATTTCCATTTTTTTATACAGAATATCTTATTATCTGTCATGACTGAGATTAAATTGTATTGGTGCGTTTATTTATGACACAGCATTCGATATTATCGAGCCCTGAGCGAAATGCTGGTGCATTTTCAGTTTTCCCCGCTAGGGGTCAGTACGTGCAGCAGTCACGGAAGCGATTGCCTCGCGAAGGTAAGGCTGTGAAATGTTGTCAAGTTTGGATGTACTTTCCCGTATTTTAAACTTTATCAAATGCCAAAAATGGTTTGTGGATATTCATATTGGATTTCATTTTTCAGATGACAACACAAATATGATTTGACGTGAAGCGAGACGTAAAATTCTTCCTAAATGGGTTCACATGAAGATTTCGGTATGACAGCAGACGATTCGAGAGAAACAGAATAAATTCCCATCGTAAAATGTCTGCAACCGTGTTACATTACGGGGATATAGTTTCCTTGTACGCAGAGGGAAGTGTCTGTGGTTTTATTTCAACGCTCGGGTAAGTTTTCTATATTGTCATTGTTTAGCTAAATGAACTGCCAACTGGCAATAGTTGAACAGCACGTCAAAATGGAAGGGAAACGAGGTGTGTGTAGATCTAGACCTCTGTAGCTATGTATACGCTATATAGTAGGTTGATGCCATGCATATGGACGTTGAGTACTGTAACAACGGTGCATTTATTACCTTAGCTATAAAACCCCACCCTGACAAAGGTCTCCACACATCCACGAATGTCCAGTCACCCACTGTATCAGCTTTAATATGAAGTAGACCGAGAAATTCTATCTGCCTGCTGTTGGCCAATGTTGTAAAATAGAACTGATAACGTTTTGTTTACCCACACTTTTACACTCTACCTTGGCGCCAGCTCATCTTCTAAACTCTTGTAAGATCTAATAACCATGTCAATACATCCAATTGTAAATTCTGAACCGTGGTTGTGAACTGTATGATCTACAAAGACCAGGTGGGTGTCATCCCAGCTATTTATTGACATTGTAATCCATTGACAAATAATTTAAGGTGCTTATGTATTTCCTGAGTGTTTTTATCTCTGTAGTACATGTACACATACTCTGGTTTCCACTTTTTAAACTCCAGCGAAATATTCAGCAATATCCATATTTTTCTAGGTATTTAGTAATTTGTACATATCAGTGTTCTACATTGATAATATTGTAATGGGAGAAATAGAAACAGCTAGAACAGGGTTCGAACCCGGATCCCGCCGAGTCTGAACACTAGATGGCCATGGATGCTCTACTAATTAAGCTACCTGGTCGTCAACGGTCTACCCTGTCCAGTTAATTCTGTTGCATCTTTTTCTAATTAAGTCTCCACCCTTGAAGACACAACTATTTACAACTCAAGTTCTGATATCCCCTTGCTAAGCATTAATTCACCAAGTGCTTGAAACAAGAATTGGCAAGCTAGCCCATTCTGTAACAGGAGAAAGAGAAATGCAACAGCCAGACCAGAGTTTGAACCCGGGAACCCTCAGAACTCTAGATGGACGCTCTACCATTTGAGCTACTTGAAACTCAAAGAAGACATGACCAGACAACATCTAATGGGAAGTCTCAGCAAATTTAATCCAGTTTACATGTTTCGGCCCTGTAGATGGGCCGTTATCAGAACAATGTATAAGATTTTTTTTCCATCCAAGATTACTTTCGTTACACCATTTTATGTATTATATATATTATACCATACTGGGCCCAGATTAGATATTGTTATGTCAATTGATATCATTAATGGGATTAATGTGTAAACAACGGTTATGTGGATGTGTGTAGAGAATGTTTGAAGTATAATCCAAATATATAGTATATTGTGGTTTGACTCGGTGAATAACAACATCAAACTGACATTACAACGGCATTATCAATAACAGGTAGTAGGTCTGGACCCAGTAGATTACAAAAAGAGTACAAGACAAGCACTTAATCTACAGGAACTCAAGGGAAGTTCCTTTTAGTGTGTCAGTAGCAAGCTGCAATAGTTTATGAAACTCCCCTGGCATAATAGTGCCTGTGAGCTCCTTTGATACGATGCAGTGTCTGTTGTACATCTTCTGTCAACACTTTCTTACTTCACAAGGACCATCATTAGTGTACATGTATATTATCAGTAGCTAGTAGGTTCCTTTGGTAAAGCACAACAAAGTGTATGAAGGAAAAAAAGGATCATGATCTACTTGACTTCCATGGCTAAATGTTAGGGGTCAAATATCTATAAACAAATTTAAAAAGTTCTTCTAATGAACCGGACGGCTGATAGTCATCAGGGGTTTCATTAAGAACGTCCGCCGGGCCGATTTGACCGCTTCAACTGCTATTTTGGCTGGTTCAAATTACTCCTGGCATCATATTTTTATTACCTTATATAATTGTATACCATTGTATACTGATTTTATGTTAAAACAAAAGGTTTGATGCTATAATGTATCAGTTTCTCAGTTGGCAGTTAATTATATAAAGTTCTGTTCAGTGCACTGTTGTGACGGATTTAGTTGCATATTGCCGTACATTGTTGTTTGAAAGTCGATATCGACGATGTTGGACATTGTCAATATCATTGACTCGATACTTACAGAGGTGTAAAAAGCCATAAGCGCTGACTTTTTAGGATGTCATACATATATCAAAAATGCTTCTGTTCTATTTTATTATCATGAGGGTATACATAACCAATTATTGAAGGATACTCCAGGCCAAATTTGGTATAACTCCTACCAATGTTACAGAAGAAGGATTTTGAAAATTTAAACTTCCAATTCTCCTTTTGATCCCTGCCCCTCTGCACTCAAAGGGGCCACACCCACAGTTTATACAAAATTGTGTCCCCTTGGCCCAAAAAGGATACTCCTTTGGCAAAAAGATTTTTAAAAACAGAGGGTGTGGACCATCTGGGTGCATAGTTGCGGAGCCGCATAGGGGAATTTGAGGTTTAAATCTTTAAAACCCTTCTTCATAAGTACCATTGGGGGGATTGTTTGTGTAACAAAGTTATACTCTGTCTTTATTTCCTATAGTTGACGCAAGCTTCCAGCCCACCAAAATTGTATCCATGTGTAATTTACTGGGGTTCATTTAGTCCTCCCAGCCACACAGTTGAGATAGTATAGGAGCCATTAACCCTAGACTGACCACGGCCACTGTCTGTTAACAATGGGAATCTCTACGTCATGAGTAGGCGGGACAGGGTAGCCACTGGCAGCAACCTCCTCCTTTCATCGGGACGAGTAGCCACTGACAGCAACCCCCTCCTTTCATCGGGCCGAGTAGCCACTGGCAGCAAACCCCTCCTTTTATTGGGGGGGGGGGTAGGGGGTCAATTCATAAACAATGTTAAGCTTAGAATTGTACAATTTGTATACGCCCGTCAAATTTGACGGGAGTATTATGGTATGGCGTTGTCCGACTGTCTGGCGTAAACTTTTGTTTGTCCTGCAATCTCCTCCTACATTCTTCGTCCAATCTCTTTGAAACTTGGTATACAATATAATCATGATATGAAGTTGTGTCTCCCTCAAAAGAAATAGGATTCGCTAATTTTTCCAAAAGTTATTGCCCTTCGTTCATTTCAGTATATGATTTTTGTCCGGCAATCTCCTCCTACATATTTCAACTGATCACTTTGAAACTTAGTTTCCTTAAAAAGAATTTTGATTCAACTGACTGTATTTGCAAATGTTATTGCCCTTTGTTTATTTCAGTATTTGATTTTTGTCCGGCAATCTCCTCCTTCATTTTTCAACGGATCTCTTTGAAACTTGGTATCTTGATGACAAATCATGATATGAAGCTGTGTCTCCCTTAAAAGAATTTTGATTCAACAATTTTTGCAAAAGTTATTGCCCTTTGTTCATTTCAGTATTTGATTTTTTGTCCGGAGATCTTCTCCTACATTTTTTGACAGATTTCTTTGAAACTTAGTAGGATAAATAATTATGATATGTTATTGTGTTTCCTTGAAAAGAATTTTGATTCAATGATTTTTGCAAAAGTTATAATTATTGCCCTTTGTTCATTTCAGTATTTGGTTAGTTGAATTTCGTGAAATCTGCCTTGTACTGAAACCATGAAATTGTACACTCTTGAAGACTTTTGCCAACCATTTTTAATCAAATGTTCCATTGAGTTGAAACCCCCCCTGTCATTTACGTTTTTGTTGAAAAAAGTTAATTCTCCTGATTTGAAGGGCCAGTAAAATTAATAGCTGAGGATCTGTTGATTTAATTAATTTTGTTTTCTTTGATTATTGGAAGAAAAATATATTTTCTGACCCACATTACATGGAAGCAATTTCCAAGGCCAAGGAATATTCATCATTAGTACCACCAGCATGCAATGTGGATATGTGTATCATATGACATGATGGCAGAGTTGAAAATGTTTCCTGCAGAATTAACTCATTCACCCCTGAAGACACATTTAACTCTTCCAATTCAAAGGTTGGAATAGGTCATTATATATATATATATGCAATTTAAGGGGTTAATGAGTTAATTTAAGGATCAAAATTTATACTTAGAAGGAAATTGTGGAAATCGAAAACATTAATGTATACATGTAGGTAGGAATTAGATTGAGTACTGTCTTATTAGTCCGTGGTATAGGGTTATATATATTTTCCATCTTATATAAAGTGTCACTTGTAAACATTTATCGTATTGTTAACTGATTGGGTATACACTGTGATTTTATATTATTAAAATGTTTTCATTCTGTTGATTTGTTTCTGTTGATTTTGAACACGAGATATATTTACATGTTCAATATATCAAACTGAATGAGTACAAATCATTCACTGAAGCAAATCCTACTTCCCTTTTGTTATTGAATCTAGCAGTTTTCAATTAAAAATGTATACACAAGATAATAAAATTACACACTGATGATTTGTCATGTACATCTGCCTGCTAATATAAAAAGTTTATAAAATATACTCATTGTGGAAGGACATATACATGTAGATATTAAAGTCTGCTAAAGCTGTGAGATGGAGGAGTCAGATAGAGATCAGATATTTCTATATATATATATATTATCCAGCCAAAGGCAAATTGAAAATGGACGCATAATTTATGGGTTTAATATATCTGTGTACTTGAACTAAGCAAACAAAGATATAAAATGAATCTATAATTTATGCAGCATGTCACTGTAGCATTATTAGCAACTAGCAAGTAGGTAACAAATTATGGCCAAAGGAAATTTTATTTACTGGTAGAGAAAATTGCGTTGTGATGTTATATATATAGTATATAGGACTCGGTACTCATGTACATTTGTCCTTGATGGATATAAATATAATATAATATACATCAGTGACAAATGTACATGAGTATCGAGTCCTATACTCATTAGAATTGATTTAAATTAAACACTGTTGAACCCTTCGATTTTACCAATACATCTACAGCTGAAAAGGACCCATACAAATAAATTGTAGATTGATCACTGGCAGATAAATGTATGTTTATTATTCCAA